GGAGGGGTGTGGGGGCATGGGAGCAGGATAGAGAGGTTCAATGGAGAAAAAAGGGGACAGTAATACTTTTAACAATACAGATAAATAAAAATAACAAAGATTAAAGACGAAAAACTTGAATAAATAAAGAATGGAAATTGAATGAATGATATTGGGATGATTGAGTATCCACAATAAATAAACAAATATAGGAAGGAAGGAAGAAAAGAAAAATGAAGGATGAGAAAGATCCTGTCATAGTGTAATCAAAATAATTTCCAGAGACATCAAGTAGTAAGATATAAATAAAATTATAGAAATATAGGGAGATATTTTATAATCTCACAATAAGTGGATTTTCTTAGCAAATTACAACACCCAGAATCGTAGAAAAAGGTAGAAAGGTTTTACTAGTCACAAAGCAAACAAGTTGTTATAGTACAGGTAGATAGAGGTATGGTCTTGGGCACTTGGTTTATTGAGATTTATTACTTAGAAGAGTGGAAGTGAGAGAAGCAAGATAGGACAAGGGAAGAAAGCCAAGGAAGGATTCAGCTGGAGACTAGATTCAGGATACTCCCATTTGAAGCTTTGGAACATAAAATACATTGCAGAGTTGGCTGCCTTGAAGAAAGGGATTACACTTTTGTACCTCTGTACCACTTAGGCATTGGCTGTCAGCTACTGCGATGGTGGGGGTGGGCAGTGTGTATTTTCTCAGATGAGGCAACTTCAAGTCAGCTGAGGGCAATTCCCCAGAGAAGGGGCCAGTCATGAGATTTTAATAATCAACATTCTCAGCAGTTGGGAGATGAATAAAGAAGATGTGAGTGGGTACTCAAAGCATATATTGCAGTCCACTCTTTGCACCATTTATATCCATTGTTGTTTGTTTGTTTTTACATTAAGTTGACTTTATTCAGGCACAGTTTTTCCAAGATTCTTTTTGGTTACAACTTCTGAGAAAGCTTACAAAAGAAGGGTGGGTGACATACTACAGTCCCTGCTGCCATAGTTGGTCCCAAGGCCATAACTGATACCAATTATTTCTTTTATGGGAGCCTGCACAGCAATCAATAATACAATTAAAAAACCTACAACAGAGTGGGAGAAAATGTTTATAAACTATATATAGTCATGCAGCACTTAACAATGAGCATACATTCTGAGAAATTTGTCATTAGGTGATTTCATCCTTGTGCAAATACTTTAGAGTGTACTTACTTAAACCAAGATGGTGTAGCCTACTAAACACCTAGGCTATATGGTACAGTGTATTGCCCCTAGGCTACAAGCTGTACAGCCTGTTACTGTACAAAACAACATAAGATTAAATCAAGCACAAGAGAAAATGATGCAACCAAGGGACAGGGTAAACACAAAATGTATGAGGCTACTGCAGGCTTAACACTATATACTGTTTTATAGTAAACTGTGTTTTTATAAGTAGAAAGAGTAGACTCTGAAATAATGATAAAAAGTATAGCATAGTAAATATATAAACCAGTAACAATTGTTTATTATTATTATCAAGTGTTATATGCTGTACATAATTTCAAGTGCTGTACTTTTATATGACTGGAAATGCAGTAGGTTTGTTTATATCAGCATCACCACAAACACAAGCATAAAGCATTACAGCTACAACATCACTAAGTGAATAGGCATTTTTCAGTTCCATTACAATCTTGTGGGACCACCATTGCATATGCAGTCCATCAGTGACTCAAAAGTTGCTATGTGATGCATGACTGTATTTTATAAGAGATTAATATCCAAAATATATAGTGAACTCCTGCAACTCAATAGCAAAATGACAAATAACCCCAATTAAAAGATAGACAAAAGACCTGAGTAAATATAACTCCAAAGAAGACATACAAATGGTCAGCAGGTATATTAAAAGGTGCTACACACCACTAATCACCAGGTAAATACTAATCAAATCACAATGAGGTATTACCTCACACATCTTAGGATGACTATCATCAAGAAAACAAAAGAGAAGTGTTGGTGAGGATCTGGAGTAAAGGGAACCCTGGTACACTGTTGGTGAAAATGCAAATTGGTACAACCAGCATGGAAACAGTATGAAGATTTCTCAAAAAATGAAAAATAGATCTACCATAATATTCATCAATCCCACTTCTAGGTATTTATTCAAAAGAATTGAAATTAAGATCTGAAAGAGACACCTGTACTCCCATGTTCACTGCAGCATTATTCACAGTAGCCGAGACATAGAATGACCTGAATGTCCACTAATGGATGATTGGATAAATACATAAAATGGAATGTTATTCAGCCTTTAAAAAGAAGGAAATCCTGTAATTTGCAACAACATGAATGGACCTGAAGGACATTAGGCTAAATGAAATAAACCATTCACATAAAAGCAAATATTGTATGATCTCACTTATATGTGGAATCTAAATTAGTCAAAGTTATAGAAGCAGAGAGCAGACTGATGATTGCCAGAGGCTGGGGAAGGAAGGGGGGAGCTGATGGTCAAAGGGTACAAAGTTTCACTTATGTAAGATAAATAAATTGTGGAGATATACTATATAGCCTAGTGTCCATAGCTAACAATAAATACTCTACAGTATACTTAAAATTTGTCAGGAAACTAGATCTTATGTTAAGTGTTTACCACACACTAACAATAAATAATAATAATAACAATAAAGGAGCTGGGAAGAAACTTTGGATTATGATGGATATGTCTTTGACCTTGATGGTGGTGATGGTTTCATGGGTCAACACTTATCCCTAAACTCAAAAAATTATATATATTGAATAGATACTATTTTTCACATTTCAATCATACCTCAATAAAGTGGTTAAAATTTTTTTTTAAATTACTGATCCCATAGTATGGAAAAAGTCAGGAGCACTGTATTAGTTTGCTAGGGCTGCTGAAACAAAGCACCACAAACTGAGTGTCTTTGACAACAAAAATTTATTGTCTCAGTTGTGGAGGCTAGAAGTTCGAGATGAAGGTATTGGCAAGGCTATGCCCCCTCTGAAGGCACCAGGAAAGGATCTGTTTCAGACTTTTTCCTAACTTCTGTTATTCCTTGGCTTGTGGCACTATAACTCCAATTCAACATGGTGTTCTCCCTGTGTTCATGTCTGTTTGCTAAATTTCTTCTTTTTTTAAAGATACCAATCATACTGAATTAGGGACTCACTTTACTCCAGTGTGACCACATCTTAACTAATTACATTTGCAATTAAGGTATTTTTAAATAAGGTCACATTTTGAGCTAACAGGAAAGGACTTCAACATATGAACTTTTGGAAGACATAATTCAACCCATAACAAGTACCAAGCTATACTAATAATTGTTGTATTCTTCACTTGTACGTACATATACATGCATACACCCTTCCAGTTTCACTTAGAAGTATCCCTGATGAGTCAATAAAAATGATCAATTTCATTACATTTCAATGCTTGAATACATTATCTTTTTAATATTCCATGTATGAAACTGGAAATACATATATTGTAATATTGTTGTATACCAAAGTATGATTGTTATCTTGAGGAATAGCACTTATACAACTGTTTAAGTTGCAAGTTGAACTAATTTCAACCATATTTTAGGTGCAGAATGGGTAGAATATTTATTAAAGAAAGAAAGGTTTTATGTGGCCTTAAATAAGATCCTATAGAAGAAACTGACATATAGAAATATTTACCATTTTCCTTTTCTTGTGACCAGTTAACACTTCTCAGAGGACTCATAAATGCTTATTGAATGGTTAAACCCAGGGAAAGAACTTTTTTAGGCCCTTAAAATCATAAGAAATACTTTAAAATCATTGTTGTTTTTAAAAACAATACTATAAAACTGAAGTTTTTCAGAAATCAAACTTCAGATTAAGACTACTTTGATTGTCAAAAACTCTGTAAAACCCAAAGGGAGGAATGCATGGGGGTCTTGGAACTGTGGAATTAGACATTTGAGCTAAGTGGAAGACTGTCATCTCTCCCCTCAACCTCCTCCCCTCACCTCCCACACCCTACTTTCCCCCATCCTCTATCCCCTACCCCCCACCCCACTCTGCTTCTGTTTTCGTCTTCCCAAGGTAGATGTATTAGTCAGGGTTTCTCAGAGAAATGGACCAACAGTGTGTGTGCGTGTGTGTGTGTGGAGAGAGAGAGACTTATTTTAAGGAATTGTCTTATGTAATTATAGAAGCTTGGCAAGTCTAAAATCTGAAGGGTGGGCCAGCAACCTGGAGACCCAGGAGAGAATTGTGGTTCAAGTCTGAAGGCAGTCTGCTGGCAGAATGTTCTTTCTCAGGAAGTCAGTCTTCTTTTTTATTAAGGTCTTTGACTGATTGGATGAGGCCCATCCACATTATGGAGACTAATTTGCTTTAGTCAATATCTACTGACTTAAATGTCAATCTCATCTAAAAATGTCTTCATAGAAACATTTAGAATAATGTTTGACTCAATATCTGGGAACCATGATCTAGCAAAGTTGACATATAATTAACCATCACGGTAGGAAAAATGGGGAAGGAAGAAGAATGAACTATTCTTCTCAGCCCTGGTACCAAAATTCTTAAGAAAGTACTCTGACTTGTCCCCTTGGGTGAGGTGCCCACCATTGGACCAAACAACTTTAATCGGGTGGCATGTGGAGAAAGGACTGTCATCAGCCCAGCTCATGTGAGATGCCCGTGATAGGCCCATCCATTGTTCCTAGGGAAGGGGTGGAGGCAGGGTTAGTTCCTATAAAATAGTAGTCAAGTACAAAACAAGGTGTCTCATAAATAGGAAATCATTGATTAATAGCTTATAAATGTAATTTTCAAATGTTAACATATTTTTTTTCCCATTTAATGATGAAATAACTCATTTGTTTTGCAAGACTTTCAATGTAATTTAGTTTTGGTTAATTGATTTTCTATCATGTACAGAAGTTTTTGTGGAGAAATAGTGGCTTCCTTTATTTAAGTACCTAAAATTGATTTCATCTACTTTTCTCTGAATACTTTTCTAGCTTTATCTGTGGACAGAAAGCAGAACCATTCACAACCTCCTGTGGAAGGTAAAATATTTTTTTTGTATTTTTCACCTAGAGGTAAGCACCAAAGGGATGGAGTTTTGAACTTCCTCAGAGACACAGTTGATGGTCTGGTCTGAGGGCCAGCCTTGTGTCCAGTTGAAGAATATGGGGACCTGAATGCTGTGGTGTGGGGGACCCTGAATGACCCACCCCTCCTTTCCCAAAGCAGTTGAATTCCATTTGGAAATTACAGAGCTTTCTCTCTCAGGTGCTGTGATAGGCTTCACAGGGAACACAGAGATGAGCAAGACTATGAGAGAGTCCTCAGGTAGATCAGTTTTGTGGGAGCCCACAGACATGAGCACAGCTATCATGTGAAGTGTGCCAGGAGTCTAGAGGAGGGAGTTGTTAGCACCAAGGCTCAGAGAAGGCTTCCCAGGGGATGCATCATGCGAACTGGGTCTTAAAGGAAGAGGGGCCCCGGCCTGGCATGGCTCAGTGGTTGAGCATTGACCAAGGACCCAGGAGATGGTTTGATTCCCACTCAGGGCACATGCCTGGGTTGGAGGCTCAAACCCCAGTTGGGGCGTGCAGGAGGCAGCTGATCAATGACGACACTCTCATCATTGATGTTTCTATCTCTCTCTCTCCCTCTCTCTCTCTGAAATCAGTAAAGATATATTTAAAAAAATAATAAAAGAACAGGGACATTATAATAGACAAAGAACATTGTGTAGGACATATGAGACCACAGGAACAATGTGAGGACAGATGTAGAAATGCATGGTGCTTGGTGTTTCCTTCTGAAGTGTGGGGCAATGTAGGGAGTGACAGGATTGGAAGGGTGAGCCAGTTTGAAAAAGGGCTTTCAAAGCCAATAGAAAGGCATTTGAATGTTTTCTTCAGGCAGTGAGAACTCTCTGAAGGGTCTTAAAGTTGAGTGAATCTCATCCGAGTTATAGAATGATGTACCTGGTTGCAATGTAAAGTATGAATTGAAGACAGAATAGTTCTGAGACCAAGACAGAGTTAGGAGGCTTTTGCAGTATCTAGGTGCATGGTGATTAGGACTTAAACTAGGGGATGGTAGTGAGAAAAGAAAGGAAATGCTCCAAAGCCAGTTGGATTTTGTCTGTGTGTATAAGGCTGGAGAAGACTGGGAGATATTCATAGACAAAGGGTCCAGAAAAGATGGGATACGACCACTGGTTCTGGAGCACATGTGATAATCTACCCTCTATCTCCTCAGTGAAGTAGGAGGTGAAATCACCCAGCTGATCACAGGACTGAATGGAGAATAATTGTGTTAGGTGACAAATCCACTGGGTGCCGGGGACTGACTGACCATTGCAAATTATCACTGCAGGCTTTAAAAAGGAAAAGGAGGGTGAAGAAAGGGTGAAATACTAGCAATTCCATAAGAACTATCATGATAAAGGGAAGGGTGGTTGGTTGAAAGTTATAGAATGGAGGAAGGTGAAAGAACATGGAACATCCACCATGCTTAGATTCCTCACCATGGAGTTACTTCTTTGGATACTGTGACCTTGTTAACATGCATATGTTTATATGATTACCTAGTACTTTCTTTTTAAAAATATAGAGTCAGCTATTGAGGATAAATATTAAACAACAGCCCCTATAGTGTTTACAAGCTAAAGTTCAAACTCTCGAGAAC